CCCCGCCCACCCCAGCCGCGTCATCTGCGGCATGATGGGCTTCCCTGCTGAGAAGAAGGTGAACAGGAACTTCTACAAGTGAGTGAGGCCAGAAGGGAGCCCGCGGGGCTGGGGTGTCAGAGCAGAGCTGGGGGCATGGGGCTGGGGCAGAGCTGGGACAGGGGGCCATGCTGTTGGGTGTTGTGGCTCCCCAGCATCCCTTTCATCCCTGTTGCTCACCAGTCCTAGCCCCAGCTGGCCATATGGGCACTCGCTAACCAAGCCAGGGGGCCACAGCGTGGCTGGGGGGCCATGGCTGCCCACCTGCCCCATGCACTACTGCAGAGGCCACTCCAAGAGGGCAGCTTTTGCTCCCTGGCAGTGGTACACCTCCACATTTCCCTCTGGCGCAGAGTGCGGGGGTCCCCGTGCTGAGGGAAGGTTTGCGGCCGAGCCAGGCAGGGATGCTCCAGCAGCACCATGGCCCAAGCGAGGGGCCCAGGGGCATGGGCACGGATATGCTGCCCATGACGTGGTGCCCAGTGTGGTGCCCAGAGTTGCACATGCCCCTGACCAGGCAGCTGCGGTGTTGCTCCCGCAGGCGGTTGAAGCGTGCAGCAAGGATGAAGGGCCGGAGCCTGAGGCCAGGCAGCAGGTAAGGGGCCGGGGCGCCCCATCTGCTGAGCCCTTGGCAGAGCTGGGCTGTCCGGCCCTGCCGGTCTCTGCCGTCAGAATGGATCCCAGTGCAAATGGATCTGGACGGAGCAGATCGAGGGCCCAGGCTGTGCTGGGCACGCAGGACAAACCCCACCCCGGTGGGACCTGCCTATGCATGCCGGGGTCCCCCGTCCCCCATGAGAGACAATCTTTCTCCCAGGCCGGCCATGCCCCGGGCAGAGCAGCCCCATCCCACGCACCAGGCAGGAGTCCTGGCACAGGGGTCAGGGTCTGCAGTACAGACCCACTGTGGGCAGGATCCCCTGGGAGGCGCAGAGAGGGCTGTGGTGTCCTGTGCTGCAGCCCCCTGGGGACCAGGAGGCCTTGGAGTGGAGACATCTCTCCTGGCAGATGGGGAGGGAGGCCTGTGGAAATGGGCTGCTTTCTGCAGAAAGCAGCAGTGGGGAAGCTGGAAAGGCTGCGCACCCCTCCATTCCCCGCAGGGTGGGCTGGCAGGGTGGGCTGGCGCGGGCATGAGAGCACTTGCTCAGCAGTGCTAGCAGTGCTGGTCACCAGGGTGATGGGCACGGCAGTGCTAGCAGTGGTGGGCACCGGTGTGATGGGCACAGTGTGGCAGGTCTTGTCATGAGTGCTACATCTGCTCGGGATCTCTTGCACCCTCTGCCCACTTGCTCTTGCTGCCTTTCTGCCAGTCCCAAGGGATAGTCTGGCTGCCCTTTCCCTCTGTCCCTGAACCCTGCTGCCAGATTTGGTCATGGGTGCAGCAAGCCAGAGCCCATCCTCTCTGGGCTATGGCATGGTACCTCTCGCCTGAGCCCACTACCGCACGGAGACGTTGCTCTGCCCCCCCAGCACATGACCTTGCAGTGGTCCCACTACCTTCCCTGGTGCCGAAGGTGCCCCACACTCTGGACCCATCCCAAGCTCTTCATCATGATACTTCCCAGCTTTGTGTCCCCAACAGGCGTCCTCGCCAGCTCGTGCAGCCGTGCCTGCACTGGTGATGGAAATCCAGATGGGATCAGCCTGTGGGGTCTCCTCAAACCCCCACCCACAGGTCCCGCTCACTGCAACATGGTGTTATTTGTCTGGTTTGTGCTGACAGCCCCTTTTCCAATGAGTGGGTATTTCCCCTGTAGCACTGGGTGAAACGCTTTGCAAAGTCCATGAAGCTGCGGTCTGCTCCCTTTCCTCTGCCCGGAGCAGGCGCTGTCTCCTGAAAGGCACATGCTGGTTTGCTGGGGCTGATCAATTTGGGGCTGCATGGCTGCGATCATATGTGGGGTCACAGGCTAATCCAGGATGGAAGGGACCTCGGGGAGTCCTGGTCCAACCCCCCGTGTGGAGCAGGGCCAGCTGTGGGTTAGACCAGGGCTTCATCCAGTTGGCTTTTGAAAACCTCCAAGGATGGAGATCCCACAGCCTCATGGCCTCTGCTCCAATGCTGAACAGTCCTCATAGGGAAAAAGTTTTCCTTACACCAAGTCTGAACCTTGCATTGTCAGACATGCCTGTTTTCTTTTGTGCTCTTCCCTCCCACGGCTGGAAGAGCTGGGCTCTGGCTCCCTGACAGCCCCTTGCAGGTGCAGGTCAGCTGCTGCCAGAGTCCCCTGAAGCCGTCTCGGCCCATGGCTGGAGCAGCCCTGCACCCCCATCTCTCCTCCAGCCTCGACTGTCTTGGTGGCCCTCCCCAGAGCTCACACTGCTTAGCTGATGTCTTTCTTGTACTGGGGACCCAGGATCGGCTGCAGGATCGACATGTGGTTTCATGAGTGCGAATGGGCACTGATGTCGTCCGGCTGACCGTTTGAATCCTGGTTCCTGGCAGCGCCATGCTGTGTCCTGGGGCTTGCTGGGCTGTGCGGGCTGACACGAACCTGCCACCAGCCAGTGGGGTCAGTTGCCAGGCTTGGTTTTGCCTTGTCCCTGGGGGGGTGTCAGTCCCCTGCCCTGTTTTGGGGCACTCTGCTCTTCACTCCTTGTGGTCCCTGGGGTTTTGGCCCTGCTCAGCATCTTCCTCCCCAAGTGAAGCAAAGCATTTAAGCGTGTTGGGACCGTACCTACATCACGTGTGCGCTGGGCCCCAGGCAGCCTCCTCTTCCCCACACCACTCAGCAGGTGCCCGGGGAGCTCCCCTCGCTGGCAGTGGGTCACTGCAAGCGTGCAGGGAGTCTCACCGTGCCCCACAGCACTGGGGAGAGCACCTGCCACCTGCGCTGCTTGCTTGGTGCCGTGTTTGCTGGGCGTCCTGCTCCCCTTGGAGCATGGCGCAGTGATGTTGTCTGGTGTCTGGACGAGGACATGGGCACACCTCACTTGTACCTGACAGATCAAATCGTTGCCGGTGGTGTTTGATCTTCTGCTGTGTGACAACGCAGCATGGGATGTTGCTGCATCCGGCAGTTTCGTGGTGGGATGTGGGCAGGAAACTGCATCATTGCTGTGGAGGGCAGTTGTGTCACATTGCTGGCAGCAGATGATGTCATTGCACCCATGCATGACATGAAGGGGACATGCATGAGTCTCCCTGTGAGGCCAACGTGCCCAGTTCAGTCTTCAGTGAAAGCCGGGGCAGGCTGTGCTCCCTGTGTCACTGCAGCCGGTGGACAGTTGTTTTCTGTTTTCCAGGCTGGACTCCAAATCTCAGCCTAAACAAAAGCACAGGGAGGACATAGGGTCCAAGAAGAGGTAAATGGCTCCAGTGGAGAGCCTGAGTGCCAGGAGCCCCACTCAGTGCTGCCAGAGCTGTGCGTGTCCCTGTGCTGCTGGGGATGTGGGGCAGGCAGCGGGCGAGGGGTGGGCGCTCTGCGGGCACAGCGCATCTCTCCCCGGGGGACAGTGCAAGGGGCATGGACAGTGAGTACAGCTGCAGGCAGGGTGGCTGTCAACATCTCCGCTGCCAGCTGGCCGTGCTGGTTGTGGCTCAGGGCTTCTCTCTCCTTGCAGGCTCTTCACGGAGCGGCAGCAGCTCAACTACCTCCTGCACTCTGTGTCCTGCACAGGGACGGAGGTGCACCTCTCCATGTGCGCCTTCGAGTTCTACCAGGGCAACACCTCGGCTGCCTGTGGGGCCGGCATGCCCGCTGTCGTCAGCTGTGTATCTGGGCCCCTCTTCGCTACTGGCAATGCCCACAAGAAGAAGCAGCGTCAACAGCAGCAGGGCCAGGTGAGCCCCACAGGGAGGGGGCCAAGTCCTGCGGTGGCCCACAGCTGGCTGTTGCAGGGCTCTGTCCCCAGGGCTGCACCTGAGAGCGGGTGTGCGGGTCCCTCGGTGACCAGCTTGTGGAGCAGGAGGTGGGGACGGTGTCCTGTCCCTGCACACCCCAGGAGTCATGGCCAGCAACCTCTGTGCTGCACTGTGTTGTGCCACACTGTGCCATCTCATGCTGTGCTGCAGTGTGCCACACCATGCCATTCAGCACCATGCCATACCGTGCTGTCCCATACCATGTCCTGACCCCACTCCCCTGCAGCCACGGATCCGGCTGAAGGGTGGCGCGAAGGTCGGCGAGGGCCGCGTCGAGGTGCTCAAGAGCAGCGAGTGGGGCACAATCTGTGATGACCGCTGGAACCTGCTGTCAGCTAGCGTGGTGTGCCGCGAGCTGGGCTTCGGCAGCGCCAAGGAGGCCCTCACTGGGGCACGCATGGGCCAAGGTGAGGGTGCTGGGGTGGAGCCAGGCATCGCCCTCCTGGGCCTGCGGACGAGGCGCTTGTCCAGGCGCAAGGCCCTGCTGGGCAGGCGGAGCCACAGCTGGGCTTGTCCCATGGGCGCCTGTCTGCTGGTCGCACGTGGTGCAAGGCTTGCCCCGAGCATCCCCAGGGGACCATGGCCACTTGGCCGTGCTGCCTGGGCAGCAGCCATGGGGGCCAGGAGTGTGCCAGGCTCCCTCGGTGCACACTGAGGAGTGAGGGCAGCCATGAGGACAGGATGGCCATGGCCGTCCCTGTATCACTGGGCGCTGAGCCCTGCTGTCCCCTCGGCAGGGATGGGGCCCATCCACATGAACGAGGTGCAGTGTCTGGGCACTGAGAAGTCCCTTTGGAGCTGCCCCTTCAAGAACATCACGCAGGAGGACTGCAAGCACACGGAGGACGCAGCCGTCCGCTGCAACATCCCCTACATGGGCTACGAGAACCTGGTGCGCACCATGGGGGGCTGCCAGCATCTGCGGGGCCACGGTGCTTGGCAGCTCCTGGCATCGGAGCCCCGGAGTGGGGGGGGTTGAGGGAGGGCCCACAGGACCTGTTGTAGGATGGCCCATCATCTCTCCTCCTCTGCACCCCATTGCACCCCACACATTTCCCCTGGTCTGAGGCAAGGGCTGCCCTGGGAGGCTTGGGGATTTTGTGGGTGGGAGTCCCAAGCTGCCCCTGGGAGGAGAAGGGTGGAAGGGAGGCCATGGGGGGCTCTGGGTGCCCCATGGTGCCCTGCTGTGTGGGGTGGTGGTGGGGCAGCTGCTCCCTGCTGCTTTCCCTGCTTCCAGCCCATGCCAGCTCCCCAGCAGAAGCACCAGGAAAAAAAAAAATCGCCGAGAGATTTTTTTTTACTGATGATGAAATGAACAAATGGAGCCATGTGTTCCTGTTTGCCCTGGCCTGTCATTTCATCCACTTTGGGCTTTTTAATAATTTTTAACTCTCTCATACCTGTCATTTCTGAAATGAGAATGCCATTTCAAAATGAACCATTTTCCCTGCTTTGGTGAGACAGTTCCCAAAGTCACAAGCAATTTCTTGGCCCCAAACCTGCCATTTTTGGTGAGTTTCCTGCTGACCAAAGCTGTCCCTGGCTCTGCTCAGCTCCTAGCTGCCACCTCTCTGTGTGCCCCAAAGCCCCCAGCCCAGGGCCCATCTGGGTGCTGCAGCACAGCCCTGGCTGTGCCAGGGATGGGGCAGCTGCAGCCGCTGCAGGATGGGGGCTGGGCAGGACCATCTTGCAGGACACAACCCCAGCAGCGGGAGCATCACTTTTGATGACAACAATGCTGCCACTGCCTCTCTCTGCAGATTCGGCTGAGCGGGGGCCGGAGCCGCTTCGAGGGGCGGGTCGAGGTGGCGGTGGGGGCTGGCGACAGGGACCAGCTGCGCTGGGGTCTGGTCTGCGGCGAAGGCTGGGGTACGCTGGAGGCGATGGTGGCCTGTCGCCAGCTGGGTCTGGGATTCGCTAACCACGGCTTACAAGTAGGTGCCAGTGCCAGCTTGGCCAGAGCAGCAAGCCGCCACCACCACTGCTCCGTGGGGACGGGGACAGGGACAGGACTGGGATGGGGTGGGAGGCGGCATGGCACAGGGTGCCTGCTCATGGCCCCAGGGCTTCCCCACAGATCCGCCTAGCCGGCGGGAGGACGGCGTTTGAGGGCCGTGTGGAGGTGAAGCGAGGCAGTAAGTGGGGCACGGTGTGCAGCGATGGCTGGACCACCAAGGAGGCGATGGTGGCCTGTCGCCAGCTCGGCCGGGGCTACTCCCTGCACGCGGTGACGGTAGGTGCCAGCAGGGAGGCCCCCGGTGATACCCCAGCAAGCACAGGCACCGGCGCTTCCCTGACGGCTGTGGGGCTGTATGGGGGCAAAGGGATGTGGCCGCTCCATGCTGCAGGACGGGACCCTTGTGGGCAACCTGGGTATGTGGGTAGGGCTGCACCGTGGCTGGGTGCTGGCTGCAGCCTGGGTACATGTGAGTTGGGTCACCCACAGCAGCCAGCCCTGCCACCCAGCCTATCTCGCCCCCTCCCCAGGAGACGTGGTACTGGGATGCCAGCAATGTGACGGAGATGGTGCTGAGCGGGGTGAAATGCGCCGGCCATGAGATGTCCCTGAGCCACTGCCAGCACCATGGCACCAGCCTGAACTGCAGGAACACAGGCACACGCTTCGCTGCAGGCGTCATCTGCTCCGAGAGTGAGCGGCAATGGGGTTTGCGGGTGGTGGGGTCCACAGGCGGTGGAGTCTTCAGGCAGTGGGGTCTGCAGGCAATGGTGCTGTGGGGCCAGGGGCTGCAGATAAAGGGGCTGTGAGCAATGGGGCTGCGGGCAATGGGGTTTGCAGATGATGGGGCTGCAGGGTCAGCCTGTGCCCAGCCGATGGGGAGGGCACGCGTTCCCCCAGCTGGCTCAGCCCTGCCTGCGCTGCACGCTCGCCCCGTCCCTGCTGCCTGCCGAGCAGTGGGGCGGCTGTCTGTCCCTGAGCAGCTGCCTGCTCCCCAGCTGCATCCGACCTGCTGCTGCATGCCCCGCTGGTGCAGGAGACGGCGTACATCGAGGACCGGCCACTGCACATGCTGTACTGCGCTGCTGAGGAGAACTGCCTCTCCAGCTCGGCCCGCCTGGCCAACTGGCCCTACGGGCACCGTCGCCTGCTCCGCTTCTCCTCCCAGATCCACAACAACGGCCGTGCCGACTTCCGCCCCAAGGCCGGCCGGCACTCCTGGGTCTGGCATGAGTGCCACCGGTGCGTGCGCGGCATGGGCAGGGACAGGCATGCAGGCAGGGGAACAGCCTGGGCCGGGGGGATCAGGGAGGGGAGAGGGTGATGGTGCTGCTGGGGTGGGCTGGGTGAGGGTGATGCCGGCTAAGGGTGGCACTGGCACTGGCTTCTGCTGCCCAGTGTCCAGTTTTGCCTGCTTTGGCTCAGGGCTGTCCCTGGATGAGCAGTGTTGGGGCTGGGGGCCCTAGGGGGGCAGGACAGGGCTGCAGGCTGTGCCCTGCAGCTGAGCCCCCTGCTTGCCTGGGCCATCTGGCTGGGGACAGCCATGTCCCCTCCCAGGGCAGGACTGAGCTCTGCCCGACCTCGCAGCACTGCAGCCTCAGAGCAGGGGCTGTGGGGACCTTCCCCCACAGCGAGGGGCCGGGCAGGGGGCCCCTCCTGTGAGTTTCCTGTCAGCTCCATGGGTCTCCTTCTCCACCCCGAGCATCCCCCGAGCCCCCCGGTGTCCAGGCACTGGTGTAGCCAGGGCGCTGCGGGCTCCCTCTTGCAGGCACTACCACAGCATGGATATCTTCACCCACTACGACATCCTGACCCCCAATGGCACCAAGGTGGCAGAGGGACACAAGGCCAGCTTCTGCCTCGAGGACACTGAGTGTGAGGAAGGTGGGCACCGTGAAGCTTTGCGGCACCATCCCTGCCCATGTCCCCACCATGGGGCTGCCCATCCCCAGCCGTTGCACATGCTGTGGGCATGGGGGGCGATGCGGGAGTTGGGCAGGGGGCTGTAGCAGGGACAAGCCACGCTCTCTTCCTGCCCGCAGATGTGGCCAAGCGGTATGAATGTGCCAACTTCGGGGAGCAGGGCATCACTGTGGGCTGCTGGGACCTGTACAGGCACGACATCGACTGCCAGTGGATCGACATCACTGATGTCAAGCCAGGCAACTACATCCTGCAGGTGCTGCAGCTGAGCCATCACCAGCACCTCTTGCAACCCTCCCACGTGCACCCCCACCCTCTGCCCCTGCACCCCCAGCGGCCCAGCCACCTGGCCCTCTCTTCCCTGCTCTCTGAGCAGGTTGGAGCACAGTGGGGCTGGCGAGGTGTGTGCTGGTGTGGGACAGTGCCTGTCATGCCCAGAGATGTGCAGGGCTCGTGCAGGAACTGCTCAGGCACGCTTCAGCCTGGGTTTTCCTGCTCTAAGCAATACTGCTCATGGGCACACCGTGCACAGTGACAGGGCCACCCTGCCACAGCAGCAGCCACCAGCTCTTTGGAGCCCTCCAGCACATCCCGCTGCAGCTGGGGAGACAAGTCCTGCTGGGGCCGGGGTGCTGGGGGCCATGCCACAGGCAGCAGCTCCGCTGAGGCCAGGAAGGCGAAGCTGACACAGTGTGGGGCTGCAGCACTGCTGGGTGTGGGGCAGGTGGCTGCGACCCTCACTGTCAGTGCCCCACAGGTCGTGATCAACCCCAACTTCGAGGTGGCAGAGAGTGACTTCACCAACAATGCCATGAAATGCAACTGCAAGTACGACGGGCACCGCATCTGGGTGCACAGCTGCCACATTGGTAATAGCCCAGGGGTGTGGCACAGGGGGGCGAGGGCATACTGGGGCAGGGGGTGTCCTGGCAGGGGTGGCCCAAGAGGAGGGCAATGAGGGGGCTGCAGGAAGCAGTGGGGCTGGGGGCAGGCTGTGGGGCTTGAGGGGGGATGGCTGGGCTGGCATGAGGAGGCAGGGGCTGCAGTCCTGGGGGCAGCTGCGGTGGGAGCGGAGGCGCTGCGGGGGGGGCAGGCAGCATGCAGCACCAGAGCCAACAGCTCTTGCCCTCTGCCCACCCAGGCGATGCACTCAGCGAGGAGGCCAACAAGCGGTTTGAGCAGTACCCCGGTCAGCTCAACAACCAGATCTCATAGGGCCCCAGCCCCTGGGGAGATGGGCATCTCCCTCCCTCGCCCCGCACAGGTGGAAGCTGCTGGGGGGCCAGCGGGGAGGCCTCATGCCCGGCACCACCGCCACCGTGCCCTGCTGGGGACTGCCCGGGACTCTTACTGTCACCAGCTGCCCTTCCCCACCTTGGGGAGCTGATGCTGGAGGCACTGCACACCTGCACCTCCCAGCCTGGGGCCACCAGCCCAACCACTGGCCAGAAGACTCTGCCCATGTCCCCTGGGCTGCGGCACACGGGTACGGTCCAGGAGGTCCTGTACCCCCCACCACACCCTCCCCTCTGCTCCCAGACCCTGCCATCCCAGTTGCACCCCACCTCCTGTTCCCCCATTCTGCCCTGCTTCCTCTCACCCCCACAGCCCTCCCTGGGGCTCTGCCCTCAGCCGGCCCCAGGACCCACCTCCCACACAGGGACTCACACCCCTGCACGGCACTGGCTGAGCCCCAGGGAGCCCCTTGTCCCCTGGGGATAGTGTGGCTGCCCCTGCCCTGGCAGCACTGCCTCCAGCTGCCCGGCAGCAGCTTCCACACCTATCTCTTAGTTGTAATTTTAATTTCTCTATAAAGTTGTCAGTTCTATTTCCCCAGTGGCTGCTGGCTCTTCTCTGGGGTGGGACGAGGAGCCTGGCAGGACCGGGAGGCACAGTGTGGCTCACGCTGCAGGGCTGGCTGGCACGCTCCAGCAGAGAGCGTGGGAGCTGCACCCCCCCATCCCCTGCATCCACCTCCAATACCCACATGGAGCAAGGAAGCTCCCCCCTGCCCACACAGCTCTCACTGGGCGAGGACCAGCCCCACACCAGTACCCCACCAGCTGCCTGCACCATCCTCAGTCAGTGCTGGGCTAGAGAAAGGTGGTACTGGTCCTTCTGGCAGAAGTCCGTGCGGGTGAGAGGAAGGGGCCAGCAGGAGCCCAAGCGTAGCTGCTCTGTCCTGAAGCAGCCCCACAGCATTGCACTGGAGGGAACAGATGGGGCCACCCTGGTGCAGCAGGGACGTGGTGAAGTGCTGGTTCCCCCACACCAGGTGCAATGCAAATGTTATTGAGCAGAAATCCCACCATGGGGCTGTGACCCACAAGGATTGCAGTCTCGCAGCAGAGACAGGCTGCCTCAACTGGCATGGAGGGAAGCAGAGACAGAGGCAGAGACACTTAGGTCAGAGATACTTGGGGCAGAGAACAAGGACATGACACGAGGGCAAAGGGAGGGACACCCCAGCTCCTGCAACTCTCGCCCCTCAGCCAGACGCTCTGGTCCCATCTGCAGCAGAGAGCAGCACAAAGGCCGCTTCAGCCACCTCCATGTTGCTGGGGGACAGGCTGCTCCTCCCCGCATTGGGGGAGGAGGAGAGGGGCAGCCAGCAGTTGGGCTGGGGCAGGCCCTGGCTCCAGGCAGTGGAAAGCACTGCGGTCAGCACTGCCGGAGCAGCTATGCGAGAAACGCTGCCCGGAGTCTCAGCTATTTCCCCGGCGAGCAGCCGGCTGGGGCTTGTCGGGGGAGCAAATTCCTCTGGTGAGGCCAGGGCTGCCTGAAAGGAGGCCTGTTCTCCAGGGCGGGAGGAGCACACGGGGGGAGCAGCGGCTCGGAGCCACCCTTCACCACAGCACCCCCAAGGAACTGTGCTTCTTTCATCTCCTAAAAATAACAGGCAGGGAAGACGGCTCAGGAGCCCCGTCACGGGCAGGGCCTGGCTCAACATGTGCATTCCTTCTGCAGGAGCAGGGCTGGACACAGCCCCTCAAGACAGCCCTTGCTGCAGAGCTGCCTGCCTCCCACAGCCTCTGGCAGGGGCCAGAGTGAAGCAGGGGCTCTTCCAGTAAGGCAAGGAATAGCCAGAGCTGCTCCCTCCCAGAATGGCTGGCCAGCCTCCTGGCCGCCAGCTGCAGAGCACACGGAGGGCCCAGCCGGTCCCCAGGGGCCAGGCTGCGTGCGTGGGAGAGCAGTGCTCCAGCATGGACAGACACCAGTCTGGGGGAGGGACAGGCAGCGCCAATGAGGCACGCATAGCCCCGGCACAGGCTTCTACTTTTGGCCCTCCCGAACATCAGGGCCAGTGAGATGCTGCCCCGGCCATCTGAGAGTCCGGCATCGACACCCCTTTCACCATGGCCCGGAAAGCTGCTTCATGGATGCAGATGTGGATGCAGACCTTAGAGCATTTGCAATGCTCCCAGTGGAAGCAATTTGACGAGGCAGACATCTGCCACATCCCTCTGGCCTCATGGGCACAGCCACAGCAGCGAGTGCTGCCAAGGACCAGCTGAGCTGGCACACCAGGGAGGCAGGGAGAGCCGCCCCAGTAAAGCCTGTCCCAGAGCAGCTCCAAGGCCGCTCTCACTCGCAGAGGAGGTGGCCTCACAAGCCACAGCTTGACGGGTGCCCACATGTTACAGATGGAGGAGTCAGATCCCAGCCTGTGCAGGTGCCAAGTGGGTGGCAGGACACCTCTACCCTAACACCGAGAAGATCCCTGGAGGCACAGCTGGCGTGCTCCTCCGCAGCTGGAAGGACTCATGTGAGGACTGACAGGAAGGGCAGGGTCCCACACAGCCCAGCCTCCCCTAGGCAACTGCCACTGCCGTGGGAAGGCCACACAGCACTGGAGCGTCCCTAGAAAACTGCTTTATTTCAGTACAGAGGGGAATGGTTGCACCATGAGTCCACCCAAGCACCGGGCCGGGCCCCCTCTGCCTGGCCCCTTCCAGTTCCTCACAAGCTCTCAGTCTCTCCCTGATAGGCGCACAGACATGGCTCAGTCCTGTGTCCTTGGCTCTTGGCCAGCACCACCAGCAGCACCCGCAGTGGCCTGTGTGACAGCACCGCTACTCCGTGACCTCAGGGACGACGCTCACCAGCAAAGTGTCGTAGCCACGCCGCACCAGCAAGGCCAGGCTCTGCTGCGTCCGTACTGCCTCGTACACATCCTCTGCTCGGCGCGATGCCTGCCCATTTATCTCCAGCACGACATCACCTGCCTTCATCCCTGCCCTGTGGGGAGAATAACGACAGGAATACACAGTGGGCGAAGCAGACACTCAGCTTCATCTTTCCATAAGGAAGGGGAGCCAGGCACTACAGGAGGCTTGGGCTGCTGCATCAGGCATTCCTCCAGCCACACAGGTACCAACAGGATGCTAAGCCTGGGCAAGGGTCACCAGTGGGTTTCTGCTGCAGACTGATGGCTGCGGGGCCCAAGCCCTGCTGCTCTGGAGCAAAACACTCAGAGCTAAATACATCCCATCCTGCATAGCTGCTTTCCCATGCCACCCCCCAAGGCACAGGGCAGCACTTACTGATGGGCCGGGGAGCCAATGATCACCTTGTGGATTAGCACCCCGTAGGAGACATCGGGGAAGCTGGGGTCACGCAGCTTCAGCTCAGCCAGGATGCTGCAGAGTGAAAATCGGCATCATGGTAAGGAGCTGCGAGGCAGAGCAGGGCTCCCACCCCACCATGGCTGCACAGGCTGAGACTGTGGCACAGAACCCCTCCTCCTGCATCCCTGCATGCTGCTAAGCACAAGCGACCAGCTGCAAACCCCAGGGGCACCCAAACACCACCATCTTCCTGTCAAAAACTAGAGAACAAAAGTCCTAACTGTGCCAGGGAGAGCTGGAAACTACCAGAGCAGCTGCCAGCCGGATCACAGCTACTGGTGATGCACTTCCCCTGTCTGAGCAGCCCCATGTCAGACCACCCTCCCTGGTATCGGATCTACCCCTCCCCTACTGCAGTTTCACTTCTCTGCCTTTGGTGGGTAGGACACAGAACAAAAGCTATGCCCCCTCTTTTTGCCAGACATGTCAAGCAGAGGTGTACCCGCATCTCTCCTCCAGAGTCTATAGACTAAACAATCCCAGTTCCTCCAGTCTTGCCGCAGATTAGATTTTCTAAACCTAGCTTAAATTCTGCACCTCTCACTGCTCCTCTTTGGACTCTGTTCAACTGCTCCTCACCCCTCCTGAAAGCATCCAGAACTGGACACAGCACTCCAGCTGGATCTCACCAGAGCGGAGGGACCGCGCATCATGTAAACAGCATTCTTCCCTCAAACACTGTGCATCAGCTCTCATCCGCTGCAGCCCCAGAAATTCTCATGGTCTCTCTGCCCAGCTCCTTGCTCCTTATCAGGTACCTGTTCAGTCAGTTATGGCTCCCCACTTAGCACTGGTCCTTGCTGAACTCTACTGTACTTTTTCACAGACCTTTGCAAGCTGCCATCCCTTCTTGATTTCCAGGATCACAGCATGGTTGAGGTCAGGAGGGACCTCTTGAGACCATCTAGCCCAATCCCCCTGCTCAAGCAGGCTCAGTCAGAGCAGGTTGCCCAGGACTGTGTCCAGTCAGGTTTTGAGTACCTCCAAGGTTGGAGACTCTCCGACCTCTCCAGGTAACCTGTGCCAGGCTTTGACCACCCTCCTCACAGTAAAAAAAGTGATTTCTTGTGTTCAGATGGAATCTCATGTATTTCAGTTTGTGCCTGTTGTTTCTTGTCCTGTCACTGGGCACTACTGATAGAACTACCGATTTGATGTGGTCTGCACGTTTACTAAGTTAAGTCTGCTTCTTTGCCTCAGTCACTAAAGCTGAACAATCCATGCCCCTAAGCAGGTCTCTGTACAAACATAGCAAACGCATAATTTTGTGATTTTAGGCTACATAGCACTAAGAGTGGCTGCACCCAGTTGTGGTGGGTTGTTGACCCTGGCTGGCAGGTAAGTCCCCACCCAGTTGCTCAGTCACTCCCCCAGCAGGATGGGGGAAAGAATTTGAAGGGCAAAAGCAAGAAAACTTGTGGGTCTAGATAAAGATAGTTTAACAGGCGAAGAAAGAAAGAAAAGAAAAAAAAAGGCAAAAAAGAAAAAAAAAAAGGCAAGTGATGAAAAGGCACTCACTGACCACCGCCCACCAGCAGACTGATGTCCAGCCAATCCTTGAGCAATGGCTACCTTGGAAAAACTCCCCCCAGTTTTATTGCTGAGCATGATGTCATACAGCATGGTCAGTTCAGGTCAGCTGTCCCGGCTATGTCCCCTCCCAGTCTCCTCCCTGGGGGTGCCAAGTGAGAAGCAGGGCAGGCCTTGACACTGCGTAAGCACTGTTCAGCAACAGCTAAAACATCTGTGTGTTACCAACAGTTTTGGTCGCAGATCTAACACACAGCACCACGTGGGCTGCTATGAAGAAAATTACTCCATCCCAGCCATACCCAGTCCACACGTCAGTCAGATGAGGCATCCATCTTCCCCACAACCCTATCACTGACAATACCAGCTGTGGATGAGATAGTTCCCCAGATACCTATGGCCTTCAGCTGCCTGGCTCAAGAAGCTCCTGAGCTGTAACGCTGCATCTTTGCATTTGAAAGCCAGTAAGATTTTTTTTCTGTAAAGTTTTCTAGTTGCTCTTTTGAACCCTACAACATCAGCAAGTTCTATCACACACTGCATGAAGAACCAACCCATGTTTTGGATGTCCCTCTAGCAACACCCTTGACCAGCAACACACCCCAGCAGCTGTTTTTTTCCTTCAGCGTCTCTTTCCTTTGCTGTTTTCAAAGTCCTTTGCTCAGTCCCTACTTACTCCATGCTGTAAGACAACTGCAGAGGGCTGTGCTAGCCAGGGCCCTGTCTCTTCCCATGGCCTTCTGTGGCCAAGGTGAGGATACCTAGGAGCTCCACCACAGCTGAGCTCAAAGCCATTGGCACACCTCCATTCCCTTCAGGCAGCAGAGCAAAGGCCTGGTGTCTCAGGAAGCTCCTGCCTGCCAGACAATCTGTGCAGCAGGACCAGGATGCCAAGGAGCTTGTACCCAACATGGAGCTTCTCCTTTTTCCTGTGCTAGGGCAAGTTTCTGGCCTTTCAAATGAGCATGTTCAGACAGTGTAATCACTCAATTCCAAGGCAAGCAACCCCTTGTTGAGAGATCTTCCCAGCAACTGGGCACAAGCAAGCCTTGCAGTCAGATGGTTTCCCAGGACCAGCTGCCAGACTGCTCACTGGCTATGCTGAAGCTGGACCTGCTTCCCAGGAGCCATGTCCTAAGCATTTCACACTTCTTCCCTGACAGACTTTGTCCTGCATGCCTGTCCAGTGAAGCAGGAGGAGGTCGGGCTCCCACATCCCACAGGTTTTGCCGAGTACCAGCACCATCTACTGGGCATGCCAGCAATGCTGACAGTGTTTCCCCACCCACCCCACTGCTCCAAATCTCAGGAGGCACAGAGCATCTGGCTCCTCCATTTGTGTCCCAGGCAGGAACCCCAGAGACTGCTCGTGGTGTCCAGAGGTGCAGGCAGCCTGCAAACCCAACCAACACACAAGATAGCAAGGGCAGAGTGCAGCCCTGATAGGTGTTTCTGCCAAGGACACTACAACCACCAACCCCACTAGCATGCTGAGCCCCAAGAGTCAGTTAAAGGTCTCTTGAAAGATGGCTGCAAGAGCCAAGGAACCAGAGCAGGCACTCTGTCCTTGAAAAGGAGAGCTGCTCTCAGAGGTGAGAGTGCAGGTCCAGCACGCTCCTAACACATGCACTTGCTGCCCCTAGAACACTGCTGGTAGGCGTTTAGGTATAGCTCCTGCAGCAATTCCCTCCCAGGGCTCGCAGCCCTGAGTGGAGCTCTGTGCAGGCCTGACCAGGGCTGTCCAGCCCTCAGCAGGGCACAGCTGCCACTGCCTGCAGGGCACCCATCTCAGGGTGCTCGGTTGGCTGCCAAGGCCATGGGCATGTCTTGGGGACCAGCTGAAGCAAGGGCAGTAGGTGATCCTTCTATCAGATCCAAGCAGGTTGTCTTGTCTGCAGTCCTCTTTGCTGACCAGAGCATTCCTTGAGATGCAGAGGTAACACAATGCCCTTCCCAAGCCACAGCCATGAGGGTGAAGAGTCTCAGACCCACAAGAAGTCATCCTCTTCCCACTTGCTAGTGCTGTACTGGTCAGCACCACGATGACTTCTTTCCAGAGGCAGCACCCAGCCTTCCTCCTGAAACCCATGAGCCTCACACCACCCTCTGGGTGGCAGCCACGCTGTGTGTGCCAACACAGCCTCCTCTCCTACCTGCTTACCTCCTCCCTCAGTTGACTACTGCAGGCAAACTTGCCATTTCTTATTCTGAAAGTCCCACATTCTAAAACTATTTCTGCACCACAGCAATTCACCTGGTAGATCCTTCCTCCCAGAGAGTACAACTTGCCCAAATGTTTCATCACAACTTTCAGTTGGCATGTTGCATATCTATTAATTACACAATGTTTCTGGTGGCTTTTCATTCATGCTGTGTTGCAAGGGCTCTGTATCGAATTCCCCTCAATGACAGACTGATCTGGCACTCTGGGGGATAGGTTCAGGGACTTTTTATCTGCTTGCAGATTCTGCCACAAGTGTAGAAACTTGCACGCTTCTAATTTACCTCTGACACAGCCTAGAGTCTAAACACAACAAGAGCACAAAGAGATTTGAGAGTGAATGCTTACGCTGTGAAGACAATCCTCCCAAAAACAGGCACTCTCAGTTAGTTTGGAAGATCCCATCACGCAGTCACCATGCCCCAACAAGACTGGTCTGTTGGCCCCTGACCTTAGAACACATACCTGGGTGTAAGAGTCAGCATCATCACCCCTATGTAACGGCGCTTTGCCTCTGTATTGCCAAACCAAGAGCCTGTCGAAGGAAAGGACATCAAATGACAAGGCTGAAAACAGACACGCACTCAAAATAGCGCTGGGCTGAGCCAGCCGAGTCACAAAACCCACACACCTCAAGGCAGACACCGTGCAGAGGGAGTCATTCCGATTCCCTACCAACAGCTTATTTAAGTTCCATTTACCAGTTAGAGCTTTATAGGTATTGCTTACTTTGCTTTCCTGGTTTGAGTTGTCATTTTTTTGACTGAGAATATCACTCCATGGTGTCAACATGAGAACCAGAAAGCAAGAGTCTGCATTAAATAAACTATCACAAACAAAAAGGAACAAAAAGAGGCAGTGTCCTACAGGACTACATTAACTACCTGTCCTTTATGATACAGCTGAATCCTGCACCTGCATTTCCATTAGTACACACAAGGCTAAGTAGCCCCCAGTTTCCAGGTCATCCTTTCCCTTTTTTGAACACCAAATAATGGTCCACTGATTTTCCCATACGCTGAGATCTACTGAGAAGTAGCAATGAACAACAACAAAAAAATCCTCACCTAATCCTGGGGACTTAAGTGCAAGCTACTTGGGACACTTTAAAAGTCTTTACCTGCAGCAGATGCAGGGCAGCATCCTCCTTACAGTTTGTTAGGCCCCTGTGGGCAGGGAAGTAGCAGCACAGCTTTCCCACAGCAGAGGGGAGTTTCATACCAGATGGGAGAATCTTCTTACCCCCAAAGACTCTTTCTCCTGCTCTGCTTGCCCTTCTCTCAGAAGGGCCCAGAGCCCAGCTGTGCCACAGCTTCCCTCTTTCATCCTCCTCCTTCTGGCCTCCTTCCCCCAACACCAGAGCAGGGAGGCACCCAACTCACTTTTGCGCTGCTCCTTCTTTTGCAGGAACTTCCGCAGCCGGTCTGAGGGGATGGCAAAAGAGATGCCTGATGTCACCTTCATAGTGTTCACCCCAATCACTTCGCCATCCTGCAGGGGAAAGGGCACTGTGCTATCCGGCCTGCATCATTGTGGAGAGGAGGGGAACTACCATGCAAGCCTGGAGTCCTGCCTGTGCGCCCACCCCTTCCCAGCCTGCTGCTTCTGCAGCTTGCCCGACCCTGCTGAGGCTGGTCCCACGCTGCAGCCCATGCAGACCCTCCCTCTGCCCTGCCAGCATCAGCCATGCCGGCCTCACCAGGGTAGGTCTCGGCTCCACCACGCCACAGTCCCATCAGCTCAGATGCTGCACAGGGCTCCCACACTGGGCTGATCCCCTGCTCCTCCTCACAAGGAGCCTGGTGTATGCACAGTCCCTCCCTCCCGGCAGCCGTAGCACCCACAAGCGCTCCCACCGAGGGGCATCAAGCCCCAGGGGGCACAGACCAGCAGGCACATGGCACCTCTCTGCCCTGGCCAGTGAGGGTGCAAGCAGAACTTACCAAGTTGACGAGGGGGCCCCCGGAGTTCCCAAACTGCAGCAGAGGAGAGAGCAGTAAACAGGCCATGAAAGCGACATCCTCACACAGCAGGACCCGCGGCAGGGAGGCAGAGTCCAGAGAATAGGGTCAGGCCGAGAAACGCAGTCAGCGCCCAGGTGACCGGCCAGAATCCCTTAGTCTCCCAGTGCTGTGTCCAGCCTCCTCTGACCTCATGGCACCCACAGCCCTTCCCCAGCTCCCCCCTCCCCAAGGAAGGCAGCCGGGATGAGGTGCCAACCCACTGTGCACCGCAAGCTCCCCTTACATCGATAGCAGCATCGGTCTGGATGTACTCCATGTCAGAGGCGGTCAGGCCCAGCTCCCGGCTGCCCCGCTGGGCAGAGCTGACGATGCCAGAGGTGATGGTGTTCTGCAGGGCAAACGGGCTGCCCATGGCCACCACGAACTCTCCCTGCCGCACCTCGGAGGAGCGCCCAAGGGGCAGGGTGGGCAGCGGGTGCTGGAAGAGAGGAGGTCGGTGAGCAGATGGGAGGGAATGAAGGGAGCGTCTCCACAACCGTGATGCACACCTTAGGCTTGATCTTGATGGTAGCGATGTCTGCGACCTGGTCCACATCCTGCACCACGGCGTCATACTGCTCACCGCTGGCCAGCTTCACCCGCACACGCCGCCGGTTTGCCACCACGTGTGCGTTGGTCACAATGAGCCCGTCCGGAGACACCAGGAAACCCGAGCCATTAGAGATGGGCACATCACGGCCCGAAAAGGGATGCCTGCAAGGTGGGCACAGGTCAGGGAGGGGTGGCAGGGACCCTGAGGGGACTGGTGGGGACTTGGGGAGGGGGAGGGCAGACAGGGGCCAGGCAGACTGGGTGGCCCAGGCTGGTAGGCCTGGAAAGAAGTGGGGGATAGTGAGGATGGCTGGGCAACAGCATGATGTGGGAGAGTCCTTCACTTCCCCATGAAAGGCCCCCATCTCGAGAGTCTGCACAAACACACACGCAACAGGGGAACAAGCAGGAAGAATCAGGAGTCTGCGCGCAACTGCAAAGGTATGATCCCGCTGGGACTACAGAGGCACAGTGGGAAGCTTACATGAGCGGAGAGCTGCAATGGATGGTGCAGGCTCTTTGGGAAAGAGTGGCAAGGAGGTAAGCAGAAGCGGTTGTGATCTGCACAAAGAAGTAGCCTGAATACACAGAGCCTTGCCTTGTAGCAGGTAATAACCACTTGGGAGGTGATGGGTACATCTCCTTTAGACAGCTAGAGAAAGACCTACGATTGCAGGCCCTGGTCCCCATGGGGGACGTCAATCACCCTGACTGCTGGGGAAAGGCCTGGTGGTGAGGGAGGCAAGGGACCTAGTGACACAAGACACAGAAAGGGCTGGGGTGATCGGTGCCTTTTTGCCTTGTTCCTTGGGCCTCCGAAGTCCCTGTGCCCAGAGGCTGAGTCTGTGAGAATGCAGCATTACACAGAAGAAGATCAAGGGAGGCATCACTGAAGCCAACTGAACACGCACAAGTCCATGGCACCAGACAGAATATACACGAGGGGGATGGCTGACGTCCCTGTGAGTGCTCAAATGTCACAGTGGTAAAGGGGGGCTCCTGATAGCTGGAAAAAGGCAAACGTCACATCAGCCTGCAAGATTGCCAAGAAAAAGGGTCCTGAAAACTGCAGGTCAGTCAGCTTCACCCCCGTCTCTGGGAAAGTTGTGAAGCAAACGCTCCCAGAAACACTTCCCGGCACACAGCACACAAGAAGGGGACTGGGAGCAGCCAGCACAGAGTTACCAACGGCAAATCGTGCTTGACCAACCTGGCTGGCTTCTGTGAACAAATGAGTGGCTGTGCAGGTAAGGGGTGAGCAGCAGATATTGCTTACCTTAAGAAGGCTTTCAGCATGGTCTCCCGTGGTACCCTTCTAGCCACACAGGTGACATGCATGCTGATAATCAGATAAGGTGAATGGAAAACTGGCTGGACCACCAAGGTCCAAGTCCAGCTGGTGGTCAGCTACTAACGCCATGCCTCAGGAACTGAGAGAAGGGCCAATGCCATTTAATGCATTACACATTCACAAACCGGAGGATGGGACACTGCACACATTCAGCAAGCCCGCAGGTGACACCACAGTGGAGGGAGCAGTCAACAAGCTGAAGGGCAGAGCTACTATTCAGAGGTGCCTTGACAAGCTGGAGACACAGGGTGGCAAGAACATTATGGACTTCAAAGGTAAACGCAAAGTCCTGCTCCTGGGACAGAGTAATCCTGTGCCACAGGACAGCCTGGGGCCGCTGCCTAGAAGGCAGCTTTGCCGAAACGGTCCTGGAGGACAAGAAGGTGGCTGTGTGGCAGCAGCGTGTCCCTCTGGCGAAGGCCAACTGCGTGCCAGCTGTGTGCGCAGGCAGTGGGGCGAGGGGACAGATCCGTCCCTCCCGCGGTACTTGTGGGACCCCACCCGGATGCCGTGCCCGGTTCAGGCTGCCCGGGACACGAGCTGGCCGGGGCGGGGGCCTGCGCGCGGGGGGGCGGCTGGGGGGGGGGGGGGGGGGGGGGGGGAGTGGAAAAAAATATTTATGTATTTTGGGGGGGGGGGGGG